GTTTTCAGCAATAGCAAACAGCTTTGGAGCGCATGTCTCCATGTTTGCAAGGATGCGTGCCTGCAGGGTGCAGGGAGGCTGGCTCTTGGAACCTCTCGTGCATGAGTGTCCTTGCTGCCGCTTCGCCCGTCGTGCAGGCTGCCGAAGTGTACCTCAGCAAAAAACCGAGAAGCCAATGTCCCGCACTATCCGAAAACAACAGGTCATTCGACTGGCAATGACTGGTCAACGAACCTTTCAATTGGACAGCATGTGCAGCAAACAGAAGCAACACAAAGTGCGGTGGTGCGCAATGAGTGAGGGCCACGACCACGATCCCAAGAGCCAATGGAGGGCAGTTCGGAGCAGATGTCGCCACAAGCTGTGACTTTTCGCTGCACACTGCACACCCAGTAATGATGATCGCGCTCTAGCATCCCAGCTGCTTCATCACGTTTGCGAGGTCTGCTACATGCACAATCAGGTGCCGGGGTTCCAGCAAAAAAACATCTGAACCATGTCAATGAATCACAATGCCAAGCTTCACATAGATTGCAAAAAGCACGAAGTCGCTTTTCAGGCAGCCCCTTCCTGAGCTGAAGGCACATGCATCTACATGCTGTCGCTGTTGCAAAGGTCTGGCTGGTCCGGTTGGCACTAGCAGACCCAAAGCTTCTAAAGGCAAGGCACACAAGTGTGAACACTGCAACGGATCCGGAGACCATAGTCACTTCTCACTCTAGGTGCTAGGCGTTGGCGTTGCCAAGCATCATTCTCTTGGCATCGTAGCGCTTCAAGGATTCCGCAGATAGCATGACCTTGCGATTCATTGTCGTCATGAGCACAGAGTACCGCCTGGCGCATGTTGCTTTCCAGCCTTGTGCACCATTTGACGTCTCAATTTGGGCGTAAGGACGGCATCCGGCACGCCTGGCAATCTTTACTCGGCGTGGCATCCTCGCTCCCTTACGTACGCCATGCAGGGCAGAACCTCGCTGCTGCCGATGCTATTACTAGTGACAGTCTCCCTCGCATGGGCGGAACACGTGTCTCCGCGTGTTCCAGATAGCCCAGACTGGACTGTCGCCTCTTCCCTCTACAAAAAAGACTGGTAATCGAGCAGTACTGGGGTTACTGGGGCTTCGGGCACTGCCAGCAAACTCGCGTGTAGCCGCTTCGACATGTGTTGCATTGCACTCGCTTAGAGGTGGCTGTTATCTTGTAGCACCCTGGAACTTGAGCACAGGCAACCCAAACTGCCTCGTGGAAGGGATGTCCTGATCATGCAGGGATTCTCTGAACACACAGATTACACACCCCTGAGCCCGTGTGCACTAAGGCTGCTGTGGCCAAGGTTCGGAAAGAGGCCAACCTTTGTTGAGGCAGCGATCTTCCATCTCGGAGGATTGAGCTTGACAAGTCTCGCCAAGCAGCTGGACGCATAGGAAATGAGGAGAGGAAGCCACCATCGCCCGGAGGGGCAAATGCGCCCTTCACAATGTCCTGAGCTCTCAACCTTCATGTGACTCATGTATCTCCATAATGAGTAGCACTCCCAAGAGAAGATGACGACAAATTGCTGCAATGTGTCCAGGAGCTGTCTGCCCTCGCTTGCCTGTGGCAATGCAGGAAAGCAAGCGCTCGGTGCGTCGTTTCTCACAAGTCTCACGAGAGCACCTCGTTCAAGATGGGAGTTCCTGTGAACCCCACCAGCACCGAGCCGCGTGCCGTCGAGAGGAGGTTTCCTGGTCCCACATGTGCGGCGACTTGGGGCGTCTGTAGCATCCTTCGACGGCCAAGTCGCTAAGCCGTGCGAGTTGTTCACCGTATTGGGTCTGCAGTCGGACCAGGTTGTGGACCTGTGCTGCAGTCAGGAGGTCGCTCTGTGGCTTCAACCGTTCGCGCATTTGTTCGGGCCTCGTCCATGATGACGACCTGTCCCAAGTTCAACACATTCCATTCGACAACTGGTTGCCTACATGCAGCGGACCTTGTTCGAGTAAGCATTGCCAGCAGCTTGTGCGCGATCAAACGCAACCTTCAGCAAAGCGCTCACGGGCCATCCATCCTTAGACTGCCACGGGAGGTCATGTGCCCTTTGGTACCACTGAGCTTGGAGAAATTTGAATCTGCTTTGGAGTCTTGTCGCGCGGAGGGTGCTTCTGAATCCAAGCTTCCGGCCGAAGATCTGCCTTGCCAGATGCTTCAAGCTTGACGTCTTGTAGCGGCTTGTCTGCTAAAGCATGCTAAAGCCATCTAAGCTCCCAACATGACGACCGCCTGCTGACGTGTATCGCAGAGCCCGCAAGGGTGCAGCTGGGGCGACTTCGTCTGGGAAGCGAGTGCGGAATGCCTCCACGAATCAAGTCTGACCGTATTTCGGCTTGCGATCCACTGCTGCAAGGCTGCCTCTCTGCGCGAACGTCTCATTCTGCCCATAAAGAACCTCGAATCAACAGCACCGTGTTTGCTACGGCATGACATGCGAAGCTTTGTCACATGACGTATCATCACGTGTTCGGAGGCTCCAAGGGGCCATCCCTTCATTTCCAGCACCTCCCGCATGTTGTAGCACAGCTCGTGCATGACAACACCAGACAGGTCCTCGTGCAATCGTGCCCACGAGAACCGGAGATCTGCAAACGTGCACAAAGCTCAGTCGTTTCAGTACCAGGGCACGGCCAGGTCCCAGCGAAGCCTCCGTCGAGAGCGCCAGTCTGCACAACCGCTGGCTTTGGCTGCATCCTGCGGCCTTACAGGAAGCGATGTCTCCATCCTTCCTGAAACAATGACTCAATGAAAAGCGGTTGCCAACCGCAAGCGCTGGCACAGGAAAACCTGGCTCCTGGCCTCAAACAGGCAAAGAAGTCCCGATACCTGCAAACAGGCCGAGAACACTGTCATACGCCCCAAAAGAAATTCTTGGGAATCCACCGGCTCGGCCATCGAAGTAGTTCCATGTAGAAGTTACGACAGACCGGCTCCTGCATTTCTCGACGTGTGGGGTTGATGCATCGTGGCTCAAGCTTTGCGTCCTTGGGAAATATCGGCACCTTCGGTCGAGGGTCCAAGAAGTAGTTGTCCAAGACGCAAATCATTTCTCGAGTCTTGCCTAGAGCGGAGTATCTAACTGCTGTTGGCTTCATGGCTCTTTGATCAGAGGCCCTCCCTTCACTCACTCTGCTCTAAGGCATGACATGTCTTTGAACTGGTATCACCACTAGGCCTGTGCTCCCCAAGCCCTTAGGACTTCCTTGGACCCTCTGCAACACGACACGGACAGCCATTGCGACCATGCCTGCTAACCTCACAAGCTGACTGTGGCTGCAACTAGTTCAACCTACTACTTCTCTGAGTATTCCCTGCTGTTGCTGTTGTCTACATCGAGCATCAGTGGATCATTCGCGTGCCCCTGCCACTTCCCCCTGCCCCTGTTTACATGCGCTCAAACCAGTGCCTGAATTATGCTTGCCTCGGTCGCATCGCCCAATCTTGCACATTCAATAACACTTTTGCATGCATCGTTTGAAAGGTGTTCTTTGAATGAACGTCTCGGTGTCAGACCTCCCCGCCCGCCGGACAACACTGAGCAGGTGTTCCTGTCACTACCCTTCCGTGCTTGGCTCCAAGCTACTGAGCGTCCAGACAACATGGCCCTTCACAGGTCGCACACCACCTCAGCCCTAACACGCCGTCATTTAGTAGATGTTGCATCGTTAGTATCGTCAACCCCAGCCATAGATCCGCTCTTAACCGCTTCATGGGAAGCTGTGCCAAGCGTGCTTGGGTCAAGCAGCATAGCCGCTCCCTCTACTTTCACATGGTACCACGCTGCGCAAATCTCACGCTCAACCCCCTCCTCTGAAAACGCTGCACATTGCCGCCGCCGCCGCTCCCACACTGCACCCTCCCGAAGGTCTGACAGGCTTCTGTGCATGTCACTTTTGATTCGATGATGCTGATGTCGTTCTTGCCAACCCACATTTGGTCTTGCTTCGTCGGATCTCCCGCCCATTTCTCGGAAGAGTGATCCGCAGCATCAGCGACTGTGGTAGAGGCCTGATCCGGTAGGATGGTCCACCAGCCTGAGCTTCTCTCGTTTTCCTGCAACAGTCTGATCCATTGCGCGAGGCCCCGGCATTCGAGAGATGGGCGACTGCGGATGCAGCATAAATGCTACCGCCTCATGCATTCCAGCAACAGCCCATCTGGACTCAAAGCCGCTGCCTCAGCCTAAACTCTGCTTTGACCTCAGTGTGCAAGATGCCTCTTGATGTGGCTGGAGAGGTGGACATTCGCCTGTCTTCGCCCAAGGTCCAGCTGGAGGTGCGGTGTGACGCATCAGACTTGTTTGCTCGCCTTCGGCGCGCCGTCCCTTCAACTTCCTGCCAATTTTCGCATTCCACATCACTCGTGCCTGCAAAGGGATGGAGCCATGGTTTCTGGTTTCTGAAGCGGCCATGGAGCTCGAGACCACAAGAGCGCTCACAACTCAGGAAGCCAAGCGGCAGCAAACCGATTGAAACCTGCACACAAGATGTTAACTTCGAGATGATCAGAGAACAGGAGGTCAGTGGTCAGTAGCGGTCAGCACCTGGCGACCCGAGGTCAGGAGCTCCCTCCCAATTTCCGGTATAGGAGGGATCCAGCGGAACGGGCTCCTGCAGAGTAAAAAGTCACGAGTCGAGGCTTTCCCAAAGCTCCCGTCGGGTCCTGGCTGATGATCAAGTCTTTTAGCCCTCCTGGAGTTCGCTTGGCCAAGTATCGCTGCCACAGTGGCAAACAGGTGGCAAAGCACGGACAGTTGAAAGCAGCAAGCTCCGAGTACTTCCACTTCTCGGTCGACTTCTTCTTCACCATCGAGGTCAGATGCATCGGACATCTCCTGCAATCTGTGATGTGACGTTGATTATCCAGAAATTGGCAGAACTCCACTCATGCTCGAAGATATCCAAGCACCTGCCAGCTATGCATCCTACTGAGCCTGCGCCACGTGGGGTTGGGGGTCTACACAATCAGCGTCTTCCTCTTAGCCCGGGGCTGGTACAAAATCCCATCTGTATGTCCTTGTCGTCAGCACTGCTCTCTGACGATGTGCTCTCGCTGCTCGATGCTTCACCATCGTCGATAGCCTTCCAAGTCTTCTGCGTCACCCTTCATGGCAGAGGTTGTCTTAAATACCGGCATAGATCCGCCGCTACAACATACTCACCATCTTTCACTCGAGTACCCTTGCGGTGTTATGCGGTGTTGCTTGCTACTCGACTACTCGCCAGACAGATTGATTCTCTCTCTTCATCCTTCCCTATCCCCTGCGGTGTGGTCAAGCCTTGATCGGGCCAGGCGCTTTTGATGTCATGTCCTTGGCCGTTGTGGTGCCCTTTCCAGCTGCATCTTCCTCCTCGTAACAACGGCGCTCTGCCAGGAATCACAGTTCGACAAAGGACCGTCAACCATGTTCTATACTACTATATGCTGTATGTGCCACTGATAATCTTTAAGTCATCCTCCGAAGATGAACTGTCGGAAGAGGAGTCAGAGGAGGAGGACGACGAGGAAGAAGCAGCGCTGGAGCCATCATGCTGCACCTTGACATCAGCACTGTTTGGCTTCGAAGCTCCACGACTGCTGTTGGCTCTGCCTGATCTTTCATCTTCCAGACCCTACCACGGTCGCCCTGGCTACGTACGAGCTGATCTGAACACGGCGGAACAACACGTTCGTCATGCTACGCTGAGAAAGTGCGCATGCTTTCATGCCGACAGTCTGAAAAAGCACATCTTCCGCAATCCTCGTCGCGGCCCTAAGGCTCGGCTGGCTGCAACGACTCTACCACGGCATTTTTGCTCTTGCAGCACTGCGGGAAGGAAATCCGAAGCGCGTGCCAAGCTTGCTGAAATGCCACATGCCAAGCATCACCACTGCGCTCACTGCACCGGCACCCCAGGCCTGCAAATGAGCATTCTGACCCTGGTAAAGCTACCGCGCCCTACAAGTATCTAGACAAAACTCTTAGTTGTTGCTATGGCAGACCGTCCAACCTGGCTGGATTTCCATTTCTTGGCACGGAAATGCCGCTGGGTGTACGAGCTCCGGGCCTCATGCGCCACGTCACCGAAACAAGCCAGGCAAGGGTCGATTGATTTATGATGGGTACGGCCCCCATACCGTAACAGTCTATAATAGGGCTACTATAAAGGGCATGAAAGGCCGAAGTGAGTTCTGAGAATACCACTTTGCGGAGCTGATTGGCAACGGAGATTTGCGCAGCCGCTGCACGCACCCTGAGCTGTCGCAGGCTGTTTGCAGCACATAAAACTGAAGAATGCACGTGAATCCATGAAGTACCTCTCCCCACCAGCACATGCACAATCAGCCTGAATGGAAAACGCGGGGTCTTGGATTTTTCGAGTTGCAGAAAACTAGGAAGCCTTCTTGAGGAGTCCTTACATGTGCCTGTTCTTTCGGAAATTTCAAATCAACCGCGGAATTCGTGAACGGGAGTACTGTATCGTTGAAAGTCACATCTTCTATAGTGCTCGCTTGAGGATCCGGGGAAGGCTTCAGTCTATCATTACGAAGCGACGCCAATCAGCAACCAAGAGCGGATTCTCACATCCTGTCTTAACAAGTCCTGACCCTAGACCATCCTCGTCACAACCCAACGCCAGCTTGAAGCATCCCAAAACGGACACCAGGTCCTAAGCTTTGAAAGTTTTGACAGAGTTGTTGCTCCTAGGGCCTAGGATGCTTTCGTCTACGCTTCTAACTTCTAACTGTATTTCTTGTCACGGTGTGTGTCTTCATGTGTCTTCTTCATCCGGCACGCTCTTGAACGGTGGGGAGCTGGAGCTCGCAACCGTTGATGGATTCGGCAAGGGAGTGTGCGATGACGTTGGCGACCTCTCCTTCACAGATTCTGCACAGCTCGATTCACTTCTACACCGTAGCACGAGAACTGCGCAAGGTGGCTGTTGCTGGCGAGCTGCGCATGGCATTCGTCCGCTGGCCATTCACGAGCTTTGCAGCAGAAAGGTTTGCAAAAACAAACCGACACCTTGGACCGGTCCGGCATCATTGCTATTTTTTACTGCACCAGCATGCCTCACTATGGTCTAAAAGCGTCGCCAGGGAGCTGCAAAGCAAAAGTCGGACTGGACTCGTGCTTCTCATACTTCACACCGTGCTCAAAGCAGAAAGGCGATGTGAGGTAGAAACATCCCTTGGTCTGTTCAATGTCCCACAGCTCTTCCTTGTCATAAGCTTCAGGGTTCCATACGCTAATTTCATCACCAGAGCGCTTGCCTCTCCGGCGACTTTCTTGTGGCTTGTATTGCGAATGTCTCTCTCTAAAATGGCTGACTCTCAGGGTGCGAGCTCCTCCAAGGGTAACCCCCAAATGCAACAAGGCCGTCGCACCATCTGTGTGGGAGTCCATGGTTAAGTCTCCACCCTGCCAAATTTGTGCCTCCACGCCAGCAAACTGAGCTTTGTCCAAAAGGCAACGGCGGAAAACACGCACACTGTCATGCAACTCCGACTCTTCAGCATCGGATGCCTCCTTCTCAAGTACAGACAATGCCTGGACCAGGCGCTGCCAGCAAGCGGATGAAGCTTCCCGGAAAGCATCCAGGAAGGCTTGGATTCGCAGTGGGGCTGCGTGAGCCGGCAAGAAATCATCCGTACGGGGCACAAACACTCGAGCACTTTCAGCTCCCCAAAAGCTGTCAGCTTGCCAATCCGCCTTCAAAATAGTCTCGTCTTGCTCGTTTATGCTGTCTTCCTCAAAACCCCAAAGCTCTTGCAAGGTCGAGCTGGCTGCAGGGCCAGGCATGAAGGGCCCAGATGAGTCGCGTAGCAAATAATTCGTCAACTCCTCGGAGTTGGCCACTGCAAAGGCAAACGGGGCTCGCCCCATTGGTAATTGAACACCATATGATATCGGATGGCGGCTGTCATAATGCTCGAAAGAAGGGCGCGTAGGCACGTTGGCCGAACCCTGACAGGCAGCGAGCATGCAGCACAGCAGAAACTGTCGCAAACGGAATGCGGGCATGAGAGCCCTTGCAGTCCAAATGTCGATCATATTGTCATACTACCCCAAAACGGCTTTCTACTCTAAACTTGCCTGCCGCGACATGCTGCTTGCTTTGGCTCCGATGTTCTCCTGCTTGCTTGCGCGTAGGAAAATCTGTTTCTACGTCTTTCGCAGTGACACTTCATAAGCAACGGGGTTGAGCAAGCACCCATGGCTGCGGCACCAGAGGCACACGTACGCCCGTAGTGAAAAGCGCAAACCAGAAATACATTATCTACGTATTCTCAACATCATGCGTTCTGCTGATTTGTGTCACCACGGGCTTCACCAGCAGTCACAACAGTAGAGTCAGTATAAGGGCGCCGCAGTTACAAAACACATCAATCGAACTATGACTTCCGAACTCAAGTTGCTTCAAATAACATGCGATGGCAGCGAAATGCTGAAAGTTTTTAACCGGCGGCCCAATGTGAAGCATGGCAGCTGCAACAAGCGGCCAAGATACACAAGCACAGCTGCATCTGAAATTCCTGAGTATGCACACGTTGAAGAGCATTTGTATTTCAAGAAGCGGGAAAAGTAGTCGTGGTAGTATTAGTATCTACTTACTCTGGAGGCCCGAAGCGACGTGCACTCGATGAGTACCTGCTTGCACTCACTGTTGGCCATCAGCAAGCGCTCAGACAAAGGTAAGCAAGCTGGGAGCAAACCGACTCTTTTTTTACCCACACACTCCTTTTTGCAACCACCCACGCGGTCCCAGTGCAACAAGGGCTCCGTCGGCGCAGCTCAGGCACGCACTACGCTACGCATGGCGGGAGGCAAGCGGAGGCGACTCGGAGGAGTCAGCGAGGACGTCGCTGATCAAAGGCCGCTCGCCATATCAGTACCCCCTTGTCGGGGGAAGGGGGGGGTTTGAGGCCCCCCCCGTTATAGGGCTGAATCCGCTTCAGCCACCCGCATGAAATAAAATACAGGCTTGGGGGGGGGTGAAGGTTCCATGAAATTTCAACAGGGTGCTCCAGGGTGTGGAGGGAGAGGTAGGTAGGCTTTTTTTTTTTAAGGCTTGGGTCCGCAGATTTGTCCATGCAGTGAAAATTTCGGCACTCGAAAATGTGCTTGAAGTACCTGGGGAAAGGGTTGGGCGGCAAGCAGGAAACTGCTGGGGGAAAGGGTTGTGGCCACTAGTAGCAGCCTAATAAAGGAAGCTACCATAGCCCCGCATAGTAGGAATTTAATGGATTTCTAATAAAAATATAGTAGCAGCCCAATAGAGGCCACCTAGCCTCGCATAGGAGGAATTTAGTTGATTTTTCATAGAAACAAAGTGGCAGCCTTAAAAACGCGAGCACACGCACGCACTGCCCTCCCTTTGCAGCGTGCCGCGACAATTGCAGCCTTCGTTGGGCGATGGTCGGGATTCGTGTCGGTTTCCGCAGCCCGGTCCTTCGCTACCAGCTTGCTCTCCTTTTTTTTTGCGTCTCTCCAATACCGCGAAGGCTGATGGCGAGATCACCCCCCTCTTTGTGGCTTGAAGCGGAGGGGGGGCGGGTGAGGCTCGGAAATATTTCAGGGCAGCTTCGGTCGAGGTGGGGGTTCAGACCTGCGGGGTGGGGGTCGGGCTTGAAAATTCAGGGCTGTCCTAGGATAGCGAGTCATGTTCCATTTCAAGAGAGTCGCCGTTCGCATCCGCAGGACACCGGCTTAGTGCGCTCTCAAGGGCTTTCAGACTAGCTTTGCAACACCATATGGCCATTCGGTGTTAGTAATTATTATAATCCCAGCTTCAGCACTCCAGCGTCCGCCGACCTCGATGCCGAGGACGACTAAGCGGCACTACGACG